ATGAAATTGTGAAATTAATAAATATATATTGTGGAGCGATACAACACCCAAGCTTTGGCTCGTTGGCCCTTTTTCACTTCTTTTATTAATATTGAAATAATTGGAGCCTTGATTTTAAATTTTATTTTAATTTTAACTTATTTTTCTTAAAAATTTCCTATATCTTCCCCTTTTCCTCTATCTCCTTTCCTCCTTCTATTTCACTCCTTTTCCTTTTCAAGTACTTTTCTATGTCTCCCACACTACCTCTCCTCTTCTTTCTCAATTTCTCTACTGTGCTAGTCATTTACATACTCTCTATTCCGTGCTTTGGCCGTTCCTGCGCTTCGCGTTCCTAAACTACTTTCTACTACCCTTCTCCTCCTGTCATCCGTCTTTCTAATCTCTCTTTCACAGTCCACTTCCTTATCCTTTTTTGACCTAAAATATCCCTTTCTCCCTACCAGCTTCTCCACTCACACATCTTCCACTCCCCTTCTCTCCTATCTCATCCACTCTCTTTCTCACAATCTCACTCCTCCACACACCTCCACACACAGTTATTTTCACTACTCTGTTTACCGTTTACCACAGGTTTACGTGCTCACTACGGAAACGGAAATTCGTATTTTTTTTTATTTTCCCTCAAAATTAGAGGGCCCAAAAATAAAACCTTGCCTAGAGCATATGAAAAGTTAGACACTGCTAAACTCTAGAAATATCCCTTAGAAAAAATAAGTTTTGTTCTTTCAAAATGAATATCATTAAAATTATAAGAAAAAAAAGGTTTGAAATAAAAGTTTAATGGTTTTCAGAGTACTTAATAATTATAATTTAAAATAATTTTTTAGCTTTTATTTTTTATGCATCTCCACCACTTAACATTTTTTTCGAATTTTTAAATTCTTTTTATAATTAAATAAACCTTCGGTTGCTATGCAGGCGATCTCAACTTTTGACTTTGGAGATAAATATCTTCGAACTGTAGCCCTGAATGGTTTATAATAATAGTGGTATCATCTAGAGGTAATTTGAAGTATATTCTATAAGCAGAGATGCTGTGCAGCTGAAAAGATCAGTGAATTTGATAGTTGTTAGAAGTTGACCTAGGGTCACTTTGACTCCTGTGTGACAAAGACGTTGCTTTTACTCGTGATTGAATAATATAATCTCTTTCTGTGCAAAGTTACCTATAAAACATAAGTGTGATATATGGCAGCGTCGGAAATTTGTTTTTTTTTCAATTCAGCTGACAATTCAATCACATATACATATATGTTACCGTCAAAACCCATAATCCGTTAAAACTTGAATTTACTAGTTAAAACTAGAATGGTTGATTAGACATAAAATCGAAAACCTACGTTTATAGTACAATTATAGATTTCATTTCACCCCATAAACAGGGAAGAGAAAGGGGAGATTGGACTTTGCTACGCGTGGAAAGTTGAAAACTATATGTGAAACTGAATAATTGTAGACTTCGTTTCAACTAAATTTAAAACTAATTTTAACTAGTGAAATTGGGTTTAACAATTATGGGTTTTGATGGTAACATATATACAGGGTGAGACATTTAAAACAGGCTATCTGAATAACTCACTTATTTTTAACAATAGAAAAAAATGTCAAATAAAAGTTACTTAGTTTTGAGGGGCACATAATGTGATAGCACTAATTTTTTTTATAAGTGGAAGCGTAGAAGATATAAAGGTCAAACCTGTTTTTTAAATGGAATAATATACTTTTTTATTTACATTTTGATAAAGCATTTTAAGACGAATACAATGACCTGTATTTGAAGGTCGTTCAAGATCACACAAGGTCAACTGTAATGAAAAATTAATTGTTTCAAGGCACTCTTCGAATATTTCACTAATTTACTATTTTGTATAGGTACTTTCCGATTTCAATTTTAGAGGCACACATCAAAATCTTAGATCATGAACCTTCTTTTAACAAAAGAAAACTATTGGAGATACACATAAAAAAATGGATCGAGAGATCAATAGGATCAATAAACAAAGTGAAGACTCATGGATCTTTTCCCGGAAAATTATTTCCCTATACTTATTGTTAGGTTATCCTCCACCTAACATGTTTCCCCCTTTTCTCAGTTCCTATTACCAGTTTCCTTTACTTTTTACTTTATATCTTACTTTTTACCTTATTATTCTTGTTATCCAGTGTCATTCTGTTAACAGCCTTTTAATGAGGTGACAACAGAGTATCCAGGATTTGGATAATAACTTGTGAACAGAATATTTATTTAAATAAAAAGATACAAAGGTTATATGTGGCTTTGCATGTATTAACGAACTGAGAACTGAATTGAATCATAGACAAAAGATTTGTAGACAGCAGAGGCGCTACCAGTCAATAGGCCCCGTTTGCAATAGTTACGAAATAAATTATTTATTCCAATATCTTTCTCAAACGATTACACGTTTTAATTTTTAATATTTTTCGTGACGATTACAGATATAAGACTTCTTTACTTAATTTTTCATTTCGTTCTCTCTTGCCGTCTCACAGGTATTTTTATTTCATTTAATTTGCTCTAGATTTTTCTTTACTTTTACTACTTTTTCGTTTAATTTTTTAATTTTTTAATCTATTTTAATCTATTGATTCTTTAGAATTCTTGTTTTTACACTTTCTCAATTTTATTAACGTTGATTGTACATTTGTTTATTTTTATAAGTTATATTGGTAATTAATTTTATTTATTGTGTCTTTTAACCACTCCATAGTTTTTACATTGATACAAATTTGTATTTTGATGTGGCGACATTATGGGAGTTTATTGGAATTTTACATTAATTGCGAATTTGAATCAGTATAAGACATCATTCGGCATCATAAACTAACTCTCGTCCCACTGTGATCGGCAGCTTTCCGAATTAAAACTCTATCGTTTCTAATTTTTGCGGTCTTTTAACGTATGTAATTATTTTTCGTTATTAATTTGCGCTAAAATGACCTGAATGAAAGATTGAATTAACGTTCGTTTATATAGCACATATACTTTTGTATCTTTGTATTTTATGTTTGTATAAATTATTTCACGTACGAACATTTTGCGAGGCTGACATGTTCTTTCGTTGATTTATTTATTTATAATTTAAAGTTGTTAATTTTTTGTGAATTTAAATAACTAACATATTAGATTAATTAAAGTTTCTGGAAACTTATTTTAATTTATACTACAGCGTAGTTCATAATTTTTGAGGTATCGTGTAAAAGAAGAATATATAAAAATATTTTAAAGATTTTTTTTATTTAAAATGGGGTTTTTTGCCATTAATATACTGCTTTGCTCTTATTTTTAATCCTTGTATCATTAAGTATTCCTCTTTTGTAATCATCTTTAGTTGATCGATCACAATCGTTAATGATTTGAATTTCTGGAATACCGAATTTTTAGCGTTTTAACTGCAATTTCAATATTCGTTTGAATTAAGAAATAGTCAGAAGTAAACAAATTGGGTAAATACGATGGAAGGTAACGACATTTTTTAAAGTCATTCAATGATGTTTCAGAAATTCAAATCTTTTTGATCAATCAAATAAAGACGATTACGAAAGAGAAGTATTCAATAGTGATAAAGATTAAGACAAAGATTAAAAAGATTAAAAAAAATTAGACAAAGATTAAAAACGAGAGCAAAGCGATTGCAAAACAATTACAAAAAATGCTGTTTTGAATAAAAAGTGAGAGTGATCTCTATTTAAAATATTTTTCTGATGTATTCTTTATTTACATAAATTTTGTCTCAAAATTTATGGACTGCGTTGTTTATAATGTATTTAAAAGAAAAGTATGCAAAATTGAATTTTTGGGAAAATTGTTATTTACATAAACAAATTAATCTTTAATATTTTTATATATTTTTAGTCGTAGACTCTGAAAATAACCATGAAAATTACGTTTTTATATAGCGGAAAAAACGTGGAAAAAAATGCGAAAAAACGTAAAATTGTTAAAACTCCCAGACGTAATTCTTTTACATTTATTTTTTTGCGTATTTTGAGTTATAAAATCTTGAACCTGGATTTGGAGATACTCAACATGTGTACAGGACGTGTAAAAAGTTTTGGCCCGGCGAAATATCTCGAGAAATATTTGTAAACAGAAAAAAATGTTTGAGATAAAAATTATAAGGCTTTCTCTATTTATTCCCTTTATCAGTTTAACCTTCAGTTACGTCACCAAGGTTAGGCGAGGATCACCTTAAAACCTTTTTTAAATAAAATCCCTTTTTTCAAATTCAACATAAAATTATACTACGAGCTGTCGCGGTTGTACAATAAGTATTATATATGTATAGAACTAAATGCGTATTATGAACAATACGTTTAATGACAAGAAATTTTATAGGCGTTTCGATCCTACTTTTGGACGCTCTTCAGTGTATAAAGCGCAGTAGTGTTTAGAAGACCAGTTTTCTGATTGTTAGTCATGTTGCAAAACAATGGCTGCAACCTCTCATTTTTTGTAATCATCAACATATAATTCTTGACTAAACGAAAATTAAATAATGTGACAAAATTATGTGAAAATTATAACAACATTAAAATAGTGAATGTATATATAAAAATTGACAATTTACTTACAAGAAGATGTAAGTCAAGTCAAACGACAGAAATCGTAAAGTTAAGCCGTTATGTCTATTGCAGATACAAGGTGTCAATAACGATAAGATAGAAAAGAAAGCACAGATATAATTTGAATAATACCATCAATCTTGTGTAGAACCCGAGGAATCTCCACTCAATCAATGAGACTGAAGTATATTGGATCCAGGAGATCAGTATCTTCCCTAGTAGCATTTTTTGCTATTTTCTACAGAGGAAAATCTGCAATGCAATTAATTGCAGCAGAATTCAGCAACGTTCTGGTACAGAGCTATTTTGAGGCAGATTCTTTCCGTAATTGCAGTTTGTAAACAGTCTGTTAGCAGTCTATCAGCAGACTGATATAAGATTCTTTCAACAGAAGTAATATGCAGATTCTGGCGAAAGAATGCTATTCATTCTTGCAGATTCTTGACATATTCTGGTAGCAGGACGTTATAAATTTCTTCTTCAGATTTACAGCAATCTTACAGAAAATTGTTACTAGGGTTGTGTAAGATGTAAACTATTGTGCTGCTTTTTAATATAATAATTATGCTGTTTGTCGAGATGCATGCCCTCGTCCAATATCTCTACATTATCCCAATCAAAAGTCGTGTGAAAATGTCAATCGATGCTCAGTAATGATCGAAGTTTGTGTTGTGTTTCTTCTTATGCAATTTCGATCGTCTAATTTTTAACAAACAGTAAGTTTGTCTTACATACGAAACATTGCAGTACAAGCAATTAATTCCATAAACGACCTTATTTTATATTGGCTGTATTTATTTAATATATTTTTGATGGGATATTGAGCATATTATTATATTATTATATTATTATATAACGTGTATTATATTTTATATTTTAATTTCCGTAATTGCATATACGCATTGATATTACGATATTACATTGATGTTACATAATATTCAGAAGGGGATATAAATAGACGCATGCTAACTAGTGAATTTTAGCAATAAAGACGGATGTATGTATACATAGAAATTCCTATGCTCTGCATGAAAAGAAGTTTTTTGATGACTCATTAAGCGACATAAACAGCCGCCTCATAACGATGTATCTACTTGGCTTCAGAGATGCCAGATTTCAGTCTTTTTATTGCAGAACTTCGTTGACTGCACCAATCACTGATCTTAAAAATAAGCATAAGAAAATTACGTTTGGGAGTTTGAACGATTTAACTTTTTTTTCCATTTCCCACGTTTTCCCCGCTACAGGCGTAATTTTTATGGCCATTTTCTATAACTAAAAATACGTAAAAATACGTAAAATTTATTTGTTTAAATAACAATTCCCGAAAACTCAATTTTGCATGCTTTCCTTTGTGAAAATTGTATAGAGAACGCTTGCATATTTTATTAACTCTGATTTTAATGTTTGCATCCTATCATATTGCTCTATTTTTATCAATAATTTCAAAAAATTAATGAAAGCAACATTTTTATCATTTTGTATTTTAACGTCTAAAATATATCAAAAATTTTCCTCATATTGTATCAAGTTACAAATTAGAATTTTCATGAAATTTTGTATTTAAAAATATATGTCCATAATTCAAAAAATTTTTAAAATTAATAGTATGTATAAATATATATGTTATACATAAATACTACTAATGTATGTCATTATTGACATTGTCTTTTAAATGCGTTTCTATTCTTTCAATCAGGGACTATTATTTTTCGACTGCTTCCTGGGTATCTCTAACAGAAGTCTGCATAACGTGGATGAACCGTCTCCAGAACTTATCAATGATTAGTATCTGTAAGAGTCCAATGTGGCATTGTCAGGTTCGTGAGTGCTATTTTTTTTCATTTCAGATAAGATATATGTAATTAAATATAAGTATTTATAATATAATAATTCCTGCATTCACTTCGGATCTATATTTGACTAGTTATTAGACTTATTTTTTTATATATAATATTTTTGTCAGTATTTTTTGAGTTTTATAGATGTTAAAAAAGGGCCGATTTTGGCCCCCAA